GTGTCTCAAAAAGACAAAAACATAAAGCAAAAAATAAATAAATAGATAAATAAAACCAGGATTATGGGTCTCATCCAACCCAGTTATTCTCCTTCTGGATATCTTCCCAGGGAATTACAAACACTATACCACAGTGCTACATGTGCATGCATATTAATAACAGACTAATAATTAAACTTTGGAAACAAACCAAAAGCCTATCAACTGAGGAATATATAAAAGAAGATGTTGTGTTTTTATACAATGGAGTATTACTCAGCCATAAGGAATGATAAACTTAAGACTTAATAGGTAACAGGGTGCAACTTGAGACCATATTCATAAGTGAAATAAATCAGACTCATGTGTGTAAAACATTGTATTATCTCCCTGGTGTGAGCAACTGAAAGAGTAAGTTCTCAAATGTACAATAAATATTGTGAAATGGTAAGAAGATTTTCAAAAGGAGAAAAGAACTAGGTTGGGTGCAAGGGGCAAGGATAGTAGGAAAAAGGGAAAATGCAAGTCAGTTACATATTAGTGTGTCTTAGCTCATTAAAAAGGAAGGTTTGTGCTCATATTGATTGGAGAAATTTTCATGCCCATTATCTTGTACTCTGAGCAGCTACTTTAAAGATAACAATATGTAACGTGTGAACTATTGCGATTCTCCTATTGTTTTGTTATGATAGTTTGTTTTAACTTTTTTCCATAAAATAAAAAAATCTGAAAAACAGTACACATATCTTATACTTTAATTGAAAGAACTTTATTTTAAACTTCATAAATCCTAAGAAAATATTTACCTAAGTTAGATTTTCTTATTCTCCTACCTGAAATCCATAAACAGAAGGATTTGCCATTTGCAGTAAGATATTTCTGTGATTCAGTGATATCATTCATGACTTGCCTGTACAAAGAAGCAAACTATTAATTCAAAAATGTATTATACCTTACAAGGTCTTTCTCAATAAAAAATGAAGAGGAGTGAAGGAATACTAGAGCCATATTTCTGAAAATTGAAATTAAATCAATAAATAAGAGGTGAAAGAAAAAATTTGAAAACATCATGTATACTCTTTAGATATCTTATAATATTGCTAGTGTACACTTATGGCAGAAAATGTTAGATTAATGTTTGATAGTGGCCAATGTAGATCATTTTTTGATTAGCAGAGTGAAAAGCTGTGTACAAAACTTTATATCAGAATCTATGGGAAGGCCAGAAAAGATTTACAAATCAAAACCTGCAAGATAATCTGTCTAATTTAATGTAACTCACTAGACTCATACCAAGGAGAGAAATAGTTTATTACTTACTGTTTAAACAGAGAAAATATCATACAATTACTTTTACTATTTTACCTTGCAAAATTGTCTTTTCTATTCATATGTCCTTCCATAATATGGAAGCTTATGAGAAATAAAACTGATTCAAAATGCTAAAAATATAGAAAAACTAAATTTTAAATATAGATATATGCAATGCATTCATCAAAATTTCATCAAAATGTACAACTTAGATTTGAGCCTTTTGTCAGATGCTATCTGAGCCTCAGTGAAAGAAATGACACACACTGGATAAACACAATGGAGAACAATCACTTAAGGTCATAGCATTAGATTATGTGAGCAGAGGAGCTCAGGGTAAGACCCTGTTCTTGCAGTTCAGGTTTCCCAATCAATGAACTGGATTTCTGCCCATTTCAGCACCGCGCCACAGTGCCCCTCGCCCATGTTAGAGGTTAAGTCACAGCAGGTGAAGACAGAGCCTGGAGAAGCCTACAGAACTGAGCAGCGGCTCACTCTCTTTGAGATTTAAAGTCTCCCTTTGAAAAGCACCTCACATTCTACCGGCCTTGTAATCTTTTTGTTGGTATTAGCTACTTGGTTTTCTTTTCTTTTTCCTTCTTTTTTTTTTTGGCTTTTGGAGACAAGGTCTCACTCTGCAGTTCAGGCTGGCCTTGAGCTCACTTCGTAGCCCAGGCTGGTCTCGAACTCGCAATGATCCTCCTGCCTCAGCCTCCATGTGCTGGGATTACAGGTGTACACCACCACGCCCGGCAGTCACTTGGTTTTATTTATTTATTTTTTTTTTTTTTGGTTTTTCTCCGGTACCGGGAACCAAACTCACGACCTTGAGCTTGCCAGGCAGGCGCTTTTGCCGCTGAGCTAAATCCCCAGCCCCAGTCACTTGGTTTTATCTGACCCCTTCCCATACCGTAGGCATCTGTTTTGCTTTGCTTTGGGTTTTGGTTGTGTTTTTCCTTTCAAAAGATGCTCCTCCTTCCTCTCTTCTCACAGGACAGGCCAGGTGGGAAGTCCGAGAGCAGCAGCGGAGCAGCCAAGGGCGAACTCGTCACGCAGGTACCTCGCGATCCCACAGTCCCGTCACTCACCCTGAGGGGGTCCAAGGCTGTGGAGGGGGGACGGGGCGGGGGTTCGAAAGAAATGTGTCTCAACGTCTGCTTTCTCATCTGATCAATTCTGTCACACAGGAGGACACTTTACCCCGGCCTCTGGAGTTACCTTTGACCGCCACACTGTAGGCAAGTGGTGAGAAGGGAGGTTGGCTGATCCCATCGCTGGTCCAATTGGCTTTATCACCTCTTTAGGAGCGAGTGACATAAAACTTTGAAATGCGGACCTCCCAAACAATAACAAAAGTGTGGCCTAAAAGTAGACGATGGGTTTCCCAAAACCTAGTCTGCCAAGACAAAGCTGACCAGATCCAAAAGTTCTTCTTCATCCTTCAATGTGTATTTAAATTCCAGGGAAGGCAGCCTGGTGAGGTACAAAGAGCCCCAGAAAAGGAGATAGGAAACCAGGGCCTCCTCCTCCTCTTCCTCAGAGCCCCAGTCTCCTCGCTTGGAAAGGGGCCCAGCAATCCTCATCCTTCCCACCTTCCAGAGGTGCTGTGGGATTAACTGGGAGCTTGCAGATGTGTGTGTTTTGGTGAAAATTAAAATGTAAGACGTAACGATGGGAGAGCACAAAGAGGTGAGAAAGTTCAGAGCATCTAGGGGGACAACAAGTAAAATGGCACACACGCACACTCGCACACACGCACACATGCACACATGCATACACATGCACACATGGACACGAACACACACACACAACACAGACTCGCTAGTTGTTGACATCAGACATCCTTCTGCTAGATTTTCGGTTTGAGATCTGGAAAAACAGGCACCAGATACTGACTACGGAGCAGAGCTGCATCCCTTACATTTTCATTCCGCTGAACCCATGACATCAAGGGGCCCTTAGTAGGAGAACTATACACACCATCGCCCTGCGCCTGCTGCATTTATATTCCAGCCAATGCCTGCAGACATCATCCAAGAAAGTAAAAAACATACAAACAAGCAAAAAACCACATGTGAACAGCAAAAGAAACCCCTGAGGATGCTACAAGTTTCAGGCAGAATAGTTTCACTTGCACTGATCAAGGGGCACTTTGTTGAGGAGATGGCTCTGGAACTGGCCCCTGAGGATGAGAAGTTGTTTGAGCTTTGCTTTTGTTTTTGTTTTTTGTTTTGTTTTGTTTTGTTTTTCTCCAAGGGCTTGCATAGAAGAAAGTGAGTGTTTCAGGAAAGAAGAGGAAGCCAGTGCAAGCAGACACACAGGAGGGAATACAGGGACACGCTCCCTGGAGTGTGTGGTCAGCTGAGGGTTAGGAGGAGGTGACAGCGCTAAGATGGTGCTAGTGCAGGACTGGGTGCCGGGCTCAGAGACTTGGACTGTATCCTCTGGGCAGTGAGAGGACACTAAAGGTATCTGAGCCGGAGTGGCAGTCCTGAGGAGTCACTGCATGGAGGCAGCGCACAGGGCTTCCCTGGGGTAGAAAGGCTAAGGAAGCAGAGACTACGACAGCTTCCAGGGACAAGGAAACACTGCAGGCCATGACTCGGCAGATCAGGTCTTCCCCAGATGAATAAAAACAGGGACCCAGGAGAAAGGACCCATCTCAATGGGCAGAGCAGCTGAGTCAGATCAGGAAGTTGACTTGTAACTGGCGGCCAGCCATCCAGTTAAAGGCACCTGCTGGACAGAGAAAAGGGTGGGACCAGAACGCAGGAGGAAAACTGGGGCTGGAAATACGGAATTAGAAGAGGTCAGGGTGGAAGTGATTATTGGCTCCACAAGCATGACTGTATTTGTACATATGACCACACGGCCATACCTTCTAAGTTGTATTTAGTTGTGTCCCTCACAAAATTTGACCTTGTGCTGCGGGCACAATGCCACACCATTGTTGAATGACTTGAAGCTCCAGTGCCATTGCCCCATCTCTGATCCCAGCCTCCAACCCTCATTGCCATTAACACTCCGGACAGGCCACTTGAGCTGGAAACACTCAGCTGCTTCACCCCTCAGAAAACTCAGCCAGCGGACCAGGACCCACCTCCCTGACCGCCTCTCCTCCATGCCTGGCCCTGCTTCCCATCCACCTCTCCGAGTCTGTCTTAGCATCACCTCTTCTCTCTTACTTAATGGACAAAGCAGAGCTGATATCTATTTCTTTTTCTTCTGCCTTTTAAGTATAAGATCATCCCCACCCCGGGCACCCACCCACTGCTGGTCTTGGTGAACCCTAAGAGTGGAGGGAGACAAGGAGAAAGGTAGGTTCTTCTCTCTTATGAAGAGGAAAGACTCAGACCCCTTCTGCTCCTGGACCGCAGACAGTGAACTGTGTATCTATGCAGACAGGGAGACCTGGGCTGACATCCCAGCACCAGTGACTTAATGTCCTTGTGCCTCAGTTTCTTCCTCTGTAAAATGAGATAATATTTCTTCTAATGGGGTTATTTTACGAACTAGAATAGACCTAGTGCTTAGCCCAGGACCTGTCACATGAGCCACTGCTAAGGCTCTGGGGACTTCAGAGGTGCTTGCTCCTCCTTTGCCTCCAATGTCTTTTCTTGGTTTAAGAGACATGGTGAGACTCAGCTACTTTGGATCTCCCAGCCTGTCCCCACCCCCGAGCAGGTGGGACACCCACCTCTCTGAAGCTGTAGACTGCTAAGTGGAGTGGGAGGAGAGAGGGCCAAAAGGGCCCAAGTGACCCTGCCTTCCAAGTCCATCTAGGGATAATAAGCAGAGGACACAGTAATCTGAAGTCCTGGTTAAAAAATAAATAAATAGCCGGGGTGTGGTGGCACACGCCTGTAATCCCAGCACTCAGGAGGCTGAGGCAGGAGGATTGTTGCGAATTCAAAGCCAGCCTGGGCTACAAAGTGAGCTCAAGGCCAGCCTGAACAGCACAGAGAGACCCTGTCTCAAAAAGATAAATAAATAAACAAACAAGCAAACAAATTAGAAATAAGGGTTAAAGTAAGAACTATGGGGGTCCCTCACCCAAATCCAAGGGGCAGGATCATCCTCCTGAACTGACCACTTAGTGTCCAGCTGAAGCCCAGAACCCAAGCCCAGATGTAGCTACCACCTCTCAGCCGCCCAGCTCCACCTCCCCTGCTTTCCTCAGGACTCGCGACCTAGGGTCCTCTCCCCTGTTCTGCAGTGCCTTGGTACAGTCCACAAGGGGCAGGGTCCCCCTGCACAGACCACCCATGGCATTCATGACAGGGCTCTCCGGAGGGAGAAGCATTGGGAGAAGTGTCCGTTCTCTGGGCTTCTCCACCTTGTGCCTGCAGGGACGCGGCTCCCAGGGTGGGGGCTACAGTCTTAGATGGTGGGGCGGCCCTGACCCGGGGCTGAGGATGTGGGTGATAGATCCGGGATATCAGAATCTGCGCGCAGCGGTCACCTCTCCAGGTTTCAGGGCGCACTGGGTCCCACCACTGGGGAGGGGAGGGGGTTTGCCCTCATGGGACTTCTCATCGTGACATTTTCCTCCCGTCTCCCCATCCTCTTCCTTTTCCCCCCTAGAATTCTTCGGAAATTCCACTACCTGCTCAACCCCAAACAAGTTTTCAACCTGGACAATGGGGGACCTACTCCAGGGTATGAAGACAGTAATCTTTCCTGTTCTTTCTCCACCTCCCCTTTGCTCTCCGAGGAAGATACGTTTCTTTGTCGCTTTGTGTGTCTCTTTCATCTCTGGACCTATCCCTTCTGCTGCTTGACGCCCTTGTTCTTTGTCTCGCATCCCACACTGACCCCTTCTGGAGGGGCCGGGGAACGCATCCTTGTGGCTGTGCGAAGTAACCTCCTGTACCTTGCCCACCCTCCCGCCCACCCCCCAAAAAAAACTGTTGATGTTGTGACAGCGGAAAACTGCACGTACTATGTATCTGATTGACAAAAAAGGGCAGGCTGGTGACTTATTTGAGCTTCTTGGCAAGGCTGTGTGAGCTGCCATCTTCGTGGTCCAGCATAAGACAGGAGAGAGCGTTATCCCTGTCACTCAGCAGTTTGGAAATCTACACAGTGAGAGGAGAGTGGTGAGTCCCTGGGTCCCTCCAGCAAGGGTGGAAAGGCCGGAAAGACCCGGCTGGCAGAGCCGGTGCCGTAGCGCCATCTGCTGGCCAGTGCCGGCGTGCGCTCTCAGCGCATGATGGACGAGCTTCCTGCCTCTTAAGAGGCGTTGGTCTTCCGGATTCATGGAAATCTCTCCCAGGGACTGGTACTAGTAAGGATCCTAAAAATACAAATCTGTCCTTGTCTTTGGTTGTCTGATACAACGCTACTATTTATAGCAGTGGCAGTACAAGACCCTGTTAGAAGGAGAAAGACACATGAATACAATTTCAGTACTCCTGCCTTAATTTACCTGTGAAATTAACCTCAAAACGGAGCCCGCCTAGTCTGCTGCGGTGGCTGTTGTGGTCCCCGTCACTGCCAGTTACTGCTGGGTAGCATAGCCTTGTGCCTGAGCAGCAGCCCACAAACGCCTGGACCAGCCCACATTCTACTAGGATATTTCCATACTTGAACACGGTCCTCTAGTTTAACCTTATCCTAAACGGTCATTAGTGTGGATGACAAGCCAGGGACCCGCTCCAAGGGCCGGAGATCCTGAGTGTCTGATGTGCTTATCCATCTGTGATCAGACAGGGAGTTTACTATATGAAAAGTGGAAGAGAGAGAATATGAATTTGCCTACATAGGCGCTGGTGATTCGGGAGCCTTAGACCGCTGGGCTGGGCAGACGGGAGCTCCTGACCTTGATGCAGCCTCCTAAGTCTCACACACGGGGCACCTTTCTTCCAAAGCAGGGGTTCTTCACCTTTATGTATCACAAATCCCTTCAGCAGTTTGGTAAACTACAGGCCCCTTCCTTAGAATATTTCCTAGTGCATAAAATGAAATAATTTAGGATCACCAGGGAAACTAATTAGGTTGAAAAACAGTTATCAAAACATTTAAAAACAAATTTGTAGTATGGGAATATGTATGCTTTCCCAGCGCATTAAACAGCAATAGGTATAGGTTCATCTAACAACTACTGTACGAGCAAAGCAGTGATGAACATGAATGATAGGGTACGATGTATGCCACAACTGTAATAAACCGTTATCTGTGATTCTGACTGCTGACAAAGTCACAGGATTCTTAATACCGCTGTGCTTTATTGCCTACATTCATAATGTGAAGGAAATGCTAAATTTCAGCAAGAGCTTAAGGAAGAGGTGAATGGAGTATTTTTCTCCTTCAAGTTCATGACCGTCTGAATTCTGTCTGCAAGCCCCTTGAAAGCTGATGGGCCCTAGGTAGAGACAGCCCTGCACCAAAGGCTTGAGGCTCCTGGGCGAAGCAGGACACATGCTCCACTTGGCTCTGCGTCCACAGAAGAGCGAAGTGAGGACCCAGCTAACTGTGTGCATCTCATTTAAACGGAAGGTTGTAAAGACAGAGCAGGCAGGAGGACCCAAAAGACGTCAAAATATTGGAGGCCATTTGTATTGGTGCCAAAATGGATTCTCTCACCAAATAGTAGAGAATTACTGGAGTTTTCTGTTTATGCCAAATGTAGAGTGAGTCTCCTTCTACAGGGATGGTTTCCTGGGACCTCTCCCATACGCTGAGGCATGCATAGTGTTTCTGGTTTCAGACCATTAAGTGACCCTCTTGACCCCCTAAAGAATCAAGGTCTTAGGGCTGGGGATCTAGCTCAGTGGCACACCTGGCAAGTGCAAGGTCCTGAGTTTGATTTCCGGCACCAAAAAAAAAAAAAAAAGAACCAAGGTCCTAAATTCTCCCAGGGAACAGGGAGACTGACTCCGCACGCAGCAGATGTCAGCCACAGCGAAGTGACAAGGCCACTGTGGCCTCTGTTCTACTTCGCAGGCTGAACTTTTTCCGTGATACCCCAGACTTCCGAGTGCTGGCCTGTGGAGGGGACGGCACCGTCGGCTGGATTCTGGATTGCATTGGTAAGAAGGAACGGGGAGGGCCTTGGTTATGTCTCATGAGTGTGTTCGAAATCAGCAGAAGGCAACGAGAGAGAAATGCAGCCATATCCTGGCATCTGGCCTTGGACTAAATAGTTGCTTTGAATGGAAAAAAAAAAAAAATCAATTAAGAGAACAGAAAGATTCCCATAGATACAGAGATAACAGTTTTGTTTCAAGTCTGGCTTCTGTTGTGGCCAGAGCTGGAGCAGTAGCAGAGCCAGCAGATGTGAGGGCGTGGAAGGGCAGGAGGGGGACGCAGGGTGGATCCGTGCTGGGGAGAAGGAGGCGTAGGACTAAGCACAGATGCACAGCCCAGGGCCAAGCACCCCGGGATGAACACCTGGAGTGAGTCCCCAGGGCACATATGGAAAGTACAGAGCAGCGCAAGCAAAGAAAGGCCAGGCTGGCCCGAGTCCCACACACCTGGATCAAAAGGGCAGTGAGGAGAACTTGCATCAGAGCTTCCCCCAAGCCTGGATCCGCAGGCCCTTGGACAGGTCACACCCCAGAAGTGGTGAGGCAGACTGTGAAAGCTTTCGATGGGCGTTCTCAAAACCTATGCACCCACGTACACACTGTGGAGTTTAGGCTTGGAAAGGAAGCCCTGGGAAGAGGTGGAATCCCCAAGTTCAGAGGGGCCCTGTACCTGCGTACCCTGGCTGCTTCCCGCTCTTCCTCATTCATCCCTCAAACGCTACCCATGCAGCTGTGTGCACCAAGCACACCTGGAGCCCCTGGGGTCACAGCCGTGAGCACACACCCGGGCCTACTGGAGCTTACCGCCAGTGCGAGAGCCGGGCAGGAGGAGAAGGAGAGAGAAAGAGACAGACGGACAGACAGAGAGACAGAGAAAGACGGACAGAGAGAGAAAGCAGGAAGAGAAAGGAAGACAGGAAGGAAGAGGGACAGAGAGGGAGAGAGTGAGGGAGAAAAGAAAGACGAAATGTGTAGAGTGCCGGGGGATGATTTAAAAACTTTTATAGGAGGCCGGGCGTGGTGGCGCACGCCTGTAATCCCAGCACTCGGGAGGCTGAGGCAGGAGGATCCTTGCGAGTTCAAGACCAGCCTGGGCTACAAAGTGAGCTCATACATAGCGAGACCCTGTCTCAAAAAGACAAAAATAATAAATAAATAAATAAATAAATAAATAAATAAATATAAAAACTTTTATAGGGCAGGGCCGATAGCAGCCTGGCATGGAGTAGGGCAGCGCTCCGGAAAGCCTTCGGAGGGAGACCCGGTGGTGTGCATGGAGACGGAAACGGCAGGTGCAGAGGCCCTGGGTCCCGAAGGCAGCTCAGTGTGGCTAGGGCAGAGTCCATGCAGGAAGCTCACGGGGTGAAGCAGAGGTAGTGAGGGGCCAGGTCAGGAGGCCATTACACAGGCCATGGCTTCTGTTCTGGGAGATCCCAAGACGTCAGCAAAGGAGGAGCACGGCAGACCAAGAGACAAGGGCAGAAGCAGGAAAGCCGGTAGGAGGCCACTGCAGCCTTCCAGGGCCGAGGCGATCAGGATGGGCCGCAGCGGAAACCGTGGGCGGCCAGAAGTGCCCAATTCTGGACATCTCTGAGGGTGGAGACGATGGGATTTCTGAGAGCCCAGAGGTGGGAGACGAAAGGGCGAGAGAAGTCACGAGTGGGCCAGGGCCAAACCGGGGCTGGGCAGGAAAGGCGCAGCCCCAGGGCCCGCGAGGACCTGCAGGAGGGGTCAGGACGCACCTGCTGCGGCCGCCTCTCCCGTTCCCCGCAGCGCACTGGTTTCCATGGACACGGCCCTGCCGGCAGCCACCCCCGCTCCGCTCCTGCTCCTGCTCCTGCTCCTGCTCCTGCTCCTGCTCCTGCTCCTGCTCCTGCTCCTGCTCCTGCTCCTGTCACAGCTCTGGAGCAGCGGTGGGAGGAGGGTGGAGCCTTCGGAGGGCAGGCGACTGCGTGTGGGCTACTTGCTGGATCCCCTCTCCATCCTGTAGGGAGGAAGAAAGCAGGCCTGCTGAGAAGTTCCCTAGAGTTTGTCTGCAGAGAACACATGTGACAGAAGCCCGTCAAAACAGAAAGAGAGAGACAGACAGACAGACAGACAGACAGAGAGGTAGAAGCCACGTCAAGTTGTTTTCCACAGTGGAGAGGTAAAAGCCTAAGCGCAGGATGCATCGTCATTCTCTGGACACACGTTCAAGCGAATGTCCACCCCACGGGCCTGGCCACCTGGCCAAGGGCCTCTCTGATCTGATGCCAAACAGCCGAGTGACCGTAGACCTGTGATGCATGTCAAACATATCAGCAGCTTCCCCTTTGGCTTAGGATAAAGACAAAACCCTTCAAATGACCTTGCAGGGGCACGGCCAGTCTCTAGCTTTCTGTCACCCCTCCAGCCCGCTGCCAAGCCAAGTCCTCTGGCCACCAGAACTCCCCTCAGACCCTCGAACACACCAGTCTCCACCACACCCGGGGCCTTTGTTTCCCTGGCCCCTGGTCTAGAATGCTCCCCTACCTGCTTCAGTCACCTGTGAGAGCACCGTGCTCCTCTCCTGCCTAGATGAATGTGAAAGGATGCGCACAGGCCAGGCAGCAGATCTGTCGCCCCTGGCTACGGGCACAAGAACCCCAAGCCACAGCTGTCTCGCCCACACCCAAGGTGCAGCTCCTCACAGAGCACCCAACGTACAGCAGGTCTCTGCCCTGATGAGACCCAGTCCCCCCAGGCTGCTCGCCCTCTGGGAAACAAGCAGACAGCTGCAAGAGTGTGATGAGATCACCCCCATGTAAAGACCTGCTTTGGAGAGGAAACCAGGTCCAGACAACCAGGGAGGGCGGCCCCAGCGTGGCCACTGAGCTGAGCTGCAGAGAGCCTTGAGACTTAGGGAAGTGAACCCTTCAGGTGGGCTGAGACAGGAGGCCAACAAGTCCCCGGAGAAAGGCAGAGCCTGGGGCATAGGGAGCCACAGCAGAAGTACCGCAGGGCCCTAATGTGTGTCCGTGCCCGACCAACCCCCAGGATCAGCACCTGGTGGAAATGCGAGAACGTGCTCAATCCAGTGGGCAGACCTGGACCCTGAGAGGGCAGACAGGAGGCTGCCGCAGTGGTGGCAGTGGGAAGCTGTCATACCTGCCCTCGGGTATCACCAGGAGGGTGGTGAGGAGAGACTGCTGGGAGATCTGCTAAGAAGACTGTACACAGGAAGTGATGTGTGAATGGATGGGGTGAGAAAGAGAAAGAAACCCAGAAAGGCTTCTAGTTCAGTGCTGTGAGGATGGCTGACCCGCCAACACGGTGATGGGGACCACGACGGAAGGAACAGATAGAAGGAAACAAGACTTCCGGGCAGAGAAAACAGCATGTGCAAAGGCAGAGACTCGGATCACGAGACCTGGGGCTGCTCTGTTCTCTGTCTCAGTTCTTCCAGTGGTGATCTCAGCCCGGGGTCATGCCTGAGCTCAGTCACTCCTGGCATAGAACAGACAACCTGGGAGCTCCCACGGTGCCAGGACAGCCCTAGCTCAAGCTTCCCTGCAACTTCCCATCCGCCCCCCCCCAACATCACTCACACCCACAGGAGCCGTGAACACAAAGGTCTACATAGCTGCCGTCCTGGGCGCTGTACGTCCCTCTTCAGCCATCCCTGTCTGGCCAGCGTGTAGCTATAGATCTGTAGCCAGGTGAAAGCAGGCTCTGCTGCGCTTTCTCTGATGCTTCCGCTGTTTGTCCAAAACTATCAGGGAGAAAAAAAGGGAAGGAATCTGTGTACGTGCAATTCTGGAAAGTGGTGAAAATAATAAACTGAAGAGAACTCCAGGAGGTTTTGCTTATTTAACACGTTATTTTTTTAACTTTTAAATCTGAATAGCTTTGGGTGAGCATTTTCAGTTTTCCCAAAGCATCACCATTCCCTAATGCTTTGGACCCACCGGTTGTACTAATCTAGGTACCTGCAGAGCCCCTAAAAAGAATATACTTGGAGCTACAGAGATCTAGGTTTGGATACTGGCTCTAGAATGACTTCCCCTGGATGAACCTTCATTTCTTCATCTACAAGGTAGAGAATACCTTGCAGATTTGGTCTGAGAGATGAATAGAGGTATGTGCTGGTTATCGTGAAGGATTAAAACCATGCCATCTGAAAGAAAAGAATTAGGATGAAATCTGGATAAACAGGTGCAAGTCACAGGGAGACAGATTTAGCTCAATATGAAGCGCGAGTTGACAGATTTGGCACAGTCTGTGGTGGTTAACACACTGCAGATGGAATAATGGCTTTGGAAATAGTGTGTTCTCCATCACCAGAGGTATTCAACCCAGAAATGCTTCCGAAGGATTCAAGCACTAGACCAGGGGTAAGAAGATAACCCACAAACTCTGTAATCCCATGGCATTTTGTTCTCTGTTCCTCTGTCTCGGTTGCAGACAAGGCCAATCTCACAAAGCACCCACCCGTGGCTGTCCTGCCTCTTGGAACAGGAAATGACCTGGCCCGGTGTCTCCGCTGGGGTGGAGGTGAGTCTGCATGCAGGTGGTACCACCCTGGGGACAAGTGCTCAGGGGTACAGGTGCTAGGTGGCACTGACCCTTTTATGGATCACATTCCGTGGAGTAGTACTCAGTGGAAGTAATGTCTTACCTGTGACCCTTTCCCTGCCTTCCATCCCATGATGCATCTGGTGCAGGAACCCCTTGCTCTCCCCTCCCCCTATCTGCTGTCATCCTAGAACCATCAGCTCAAGGCCCACCTTCCCCAGTAGAGCACAGTAGTCAGCTTGAGGGTAAACACCAAATTTCATCCATCCCCTCCCCAGGTCTCATCCCAATAGAGACCTCTTGGTTCTTTCTATATGAAATTCTCCCCTTTCCAAAATTAATGATCTTCTGAATTAGGGTGTAGAATGCAGACCAAAATGCCACATCACCAGTTGCTCCAGTTATACCAGTCACTAGGGACATGCAGATTACCCCAGGCTTCCAGGGCCATGGGCCCCCATTTTAGAATTTTTCCCAGGGTAGGAATGCAGGGTGGTAACCAGCTTATACAAGGGGTGGGAGCTAAGAAGAACTTTGCAAATGAGAGCAGCCCCTGTGGAGCTCAGCACAACACAGAGTAGACAGAAGGGTCTGGCAGGCTAAGAAGAATGGGGAGTCCAGAGGGCTGATCAAGTCAGAGAGGGATTCAGGACCAGGTAGGGAAGTGTTGTGTTCAGGGACTGGCTCTTGGTTGATGGGCAGGTTCAAAGGAAGAAGCCAGCTCCAGGAGCAACCCCAGGGCCATCTTCACATTCTGCCTACCACACTGCCACACCACATGATGCCGTCCTGAAATGGATCTGTTATCTCCCACCCACAGCTTCCCAGCCATCCAAGCTACCAAATTTCCAGAGCCCGCCTTTAGCCAGCACAGACCCTCACCTGCATCCCATATTCCCAGGCTCCCAGTTACCCTGGCTTCTTCTTGATCAATGTCTGCTGTCCTCCCCTCCTCTGTGGTTCAGGAAATATAAGTGTCTGCAGCCCACAGACACACTGGGAAGTCCCCTGGTCACAGGTGTTCATGGGGCTACCTCTCCTGACAGCTACTTGTGCAAATGCAATGCCATCCTCCGCAGGTTATGAAGGGGGCAGCTTGACGAAAATCCTCAAGGACATTGAACAGAGCCCCTTGGTGATGCTGGACCGCTGGTACCTGGAAGTCATCCCCAGAGAGGAGGTGGAGAATGGAGACCAGGTCCCCTACAGCATCATGAACAACTACTTCTCTATTGGCGTGGTGAGTTGGTCAGAAGCCACCACTCTGCATGGCACAGAAGTGCCCAAGAAGGGCTCCAGTTGTCCATGGTTGCTGCTAGGCCCCTATTCTGCCTGTCCTCACTGCTTCCAGCCCTGACTTGGGTGTAAGCAGCCGCGATTCTGGCCCGGGTGTGCACGCTCTGATTACACAACACCTCCTGCTCCTTGATTACGGAGGAAACTCCTTCCCTCCTAATTTTAACTAACACAGGAAAAGACTAGAAGCTTTTCAAAAGACTTATTTATCTTTGGGGTAATTTGAGGCAGTTAAAGAAAATCAGTACCAAGAAATAACCAAGGGACAAGGTCAAGAGGAAATTTTCATGTGCTTCAGGAATTGAGGATTCAGAGCCTCAGGGAAGCCACGTGGTGCCACTTGGCTTGGCAACTTTGGGCTCAGAGTTCCTTTCTGTCCTCAGCCCACACATGCCAAGTGCTTTCTAAGCCTCTGGGGTAGGTCTCCCCCAGCTGCCCCCCAGGCTGTGCATGGTGCTCCCCTTTATCTTCAATGGCTGGTACACTTTCTGCATTAGATTAAATGGCTGGGTTTAATGTGTCTAATTCACTGCATTCACACACATACAAGTATGCATGCGCACACACATCCACATACACTCACACACACACACAACACAAGGGCAGAGCTGTTCCTTTTACATCCGTAGCCCCCAGCACAGCTAGTGTAACTCAGTGTAACTTTGTCTCACTGAACTCAGCTTCCAGTTCAAAGAGAACTGAGTGGACCTTGCTTTCCCAAGCTGTTAGGGACAGAATGGGGAACAGGGGTGAAGGGATCCATCACATCCGTAAATAGGGCTGGGGCTTGAGAAGGTGGCATAGCGAAGACACTCATATCTATGGAGCACTTCCCATGTGCCTGCTGCTGTGGGAGGTTTTACATATTCCAGTCCTCACAGCAACCCTGCAGATGCCATGTCTCTGTCGTTCCCATTTTACAGAAGAGGCCTCAGGATGCTGGATTATGAAGAAGTAGAACTAAAATAGCTGGCCCTTAAGCCGCAGTCAGGCTCTGCCCTCCCTGTTTCCTTGTCTTTGCAATTATGCTGCCCAGTTTCCTGAGCATACAGATCCCCCAGGCCAATCCTCGGGCCCCAGGCTGCAGGACACCCAGCCGCCTCTGCCATCCCCACCTGTGTGTCTTTTGAAAATGTTTGCGGTGGGTGTTAGCTAGCTTGAGGAGATAGAGGCTTAAGGAAAGGGTTTTGTTTTTTAATAAGAACACTAAAAAGAGAAGCATGGGAAAGACTAAAAATAATGTGTTATATTTACAGAAGGATTTAAAATTTACCATATGTACAGGCTTCTTTGTTCTGTCCTCGATGCTGTTGTTGTTGCTGCCGCTGCTGTTGTTTTTCGTGATGGGGGTTTGGTAATGGTGGTACTGGAGATTTAATCCAGGGAGCACTGAACTATATCCTCAGACCTTTTTAAATTTTATTTTGAGACAGGTTTTCACTTAAGTTATCAGGCTGGCTTCAAAGTTGTGGTGCTCCTGCTTCAGCCTCCCGGTTAGCTGGGACTACAGGCATGCACCAATATACCTGGCCTGATTGTTTTCATTCTGATGGCTACATTGAAATACATTATTTTCTCTATTTTATGAGTGAGGAAACAGAGACTTAGATTAGGGATTTGCCCTATTTTCCCACTCCTACTCCAGTGCTCTTTTTTATGACTAAAACAGGAGAGAGCGGGGTTGCTGGGTCAGGTTCTGAAAGCAGGGAAGATGGTAAACTGGGAGCAAGTTTAAGGGTCCTGCTTCCCAAGCTGGTTTATGCTCTTTAGGCCCCAGCCTCTGCTGGGGATAGTTTTCCCCAGGCCTTCTCTGGGTTCCCCTGCAGTGACCCATACAAAACACTTCCCTCCCACTTCCAGCTCTAAGATTCCTCTCCTTTTCAGACCGTTTGTCCAGACTGCACTTCCCCAAGAAGGAGCCCTGCAGTCTGGCGTTCGGGATGCTCCTAGAGCACGGGCTCCCCATCACTAGTTCTGGCAAACCCCGTGTGTTTTTCCTGTAGTAACCAAGTACCATGGATCTTGTACCTACAGCACACCAGACCCAGTCTCCCTATGGGTAGATGCAGTCATGGGTTTGTGCATTGTAAGGAGCTGTAGCTTAGTGAGCTACAGAACGACTCCACACTGGTGAGTGGTGGATCCTGGAATCATCACTGTTGAGCTCTCAGGCCAGCTGAATTGTGGCCTCTGCACAGCCCCCTCTGTCTTCATGCTGCTGAAAGCAACAGATGTAGGGGAATCTCAACACTGAGTGTACAGTGGCTCTTCCGGTGCCCCTTATCAGAAATGCAAAATCACCCAGCCACCATTCTAGTGCAGCTATCTGACTCAGCCAGTCTGAGCAAGGTCTGGGAATGTGCATTTTTAACCAGTCCCTGGGATCATTCTGACGCAGATGGTCCTGTCCAAGTGCTCAGAGTAAAGAAAACCCATCTGAGCAGAGAAGAATGTTTAAAGATAGTGGCTCTTCTCAGCAAGAGGAAAAGTAGAAAGGAAGGGAGAACCAGCCATTTTCCCGGTGGTAGATGTCAGTCATGGCTGCCTTTAGAAACTTCAGCCCCAAATCTTCCCTTCCTTAACACATGCAGCTCTAGCTGACAAAAGCAGCAAGATTCTCAACACCTCCCTGTCTCTACACAATGCGCTGGACAAGACAGTAGTCTCTCCCTGTCTACTGACTATATGGATATACATGCCAAAAAAGAAATGGACAGTCACCTCCCAATTAGACATCCGGGCCCTAAACCCAAGAGCCATGGATCTTGGGTCAGTAACCATGGTCCTGGTTTATTCTTTCAGATGGAAGAAAGAAAAGAGGAGAGGGAGGGAAGGAGGTAGTGAGGGAGGGGATTGTCCCCAGGGAAACACATATAAACAGAATCGTCATCACCTTCAGTGGTCAAAATATTTATCTGCCCTAAGCAGACTTATAATATTCCAATATAAACTGGGGGTGACAGTGCATGCCTGCAATCCCAGCCCTCAGAAGGCTGAGGCAGGAGTTTTGCCATGAGTTTGAGGCCAGCCTGGGCAACATAGTGCACTTAAGCCCAGCCTAAACTACACAGTGAGACCCTGCCTCAAAAAATAATAATAATCAATTTATCTTTCCAACTTTGAAGAACTTTGCAAGATCTTCCTCATGATTCTTTCCATACACCTTTAGTATATGTATGTTTAATATTATCATGCAAAGAGGTGAGGAACCAGGACTGTGTTTTTATCTCATTGTACACCCGTAGCCTTCTCTCAATAAAAATGTTTGCAGGGTCTGTGTGTTCGCTCTTTAAAAATTGGAAGGAGAAAAGCTTGATAAAATAAGTAACCAAAACACAACTCTGACAGAGTCTGGGGCTGACATTTGCAGAAGGTCTTGCGCCCTATTTGACTTCCCAAACTTTGTAAGAGAAGTAGGTATGTAATAACCTAGTTTTACTTCCTTATTATGATTAAATAGAGTCAGAGTCCTTTGCAAAGAGATCCCTGCAAAGTCTTTGCCTCTTCTGAAGGGATTATCGATACAAATGGCTGCTTCTTTACATTTATAAAGATGGTGAATACTGACCATTGCTAGGGAGCCTCTGGGTGCTGTGGATGGAGATTTGCCCTGACTCAGTCCCTGTAGTGCCAACAGAACCCATTGAATAGCTAGAAGGTTAAGTAAGACAGACTCTCCTGGCCTAACCACAGGGAGACTATGACTGCATCGCCACTGATCCCCATCCATGTGCCAGCTTTCCCCCGTGAAGACCTAAGATAGTTGGCCTTATCACTCCTTCTAACCGAGACTATGCACTGGCACAAGATGTGAAACATAGTCATGTCCAGGACATCACTTCCTCTGACTTCTCTGGCTTCCTCCTCCCTGCTCTCTATTTTTGAATTAGCAGAAATGTCACGATGGCCAGGTATCAGTGACAGGAAGTTTGGGACTACAGAATAATTCCTGGAGAATGTGTAACTCTGAACCTCTCACAGGCTCTGCTTTCAGTGAGCCTTGGCAGGAGGGGTGAACAGCTAACCCTTTGATTCAGCGAAATCTGTTTCAGATGCTAGGGAGCCCAGGGGTGAGGAGAGGTCACAGCCGTGGCCCTGACCCGTGCACCGTTTTATACCTTACTGATGGCTGTCAGAGTTCCCAGGCCAGGCTTTCTGCAGTGACAAGCCTCCTACCCATTAGGGAACTTGTCAACAAGGTATCTTTTCCCTGCAAACTTTTGGATTCTGTTAGCATCAGGTTCTTATCTGTCACCTGTGAAGGCACTACCGCAACGGGACTCACCAGGGAGTGACTTATACGAAGGATCTACATTCTTTTCTATTCCCCAGTGTGCCACTGGTTTTTAGCACACTCCAGATAACAAATAATCGGGGCTGGGGATTTAGCTCAGCGACACAGCACCTGCCTGGCAAGTGCAAGGTCGTGAGTTCGATTCCTGGTACCGGAGAAAAATAAATAAATAAATAAATAAACAGATTACAGATAATCTACCCCATTGCCTCCTTTCTATTTCAATAAGTACCCCCCAAAAAAATGACCTAGCCCTGCATGTGTCTCCTATGGTAGCCATGAACTGCACATAACTATCACATCCTTGAAATGGGCTTGTCTAAATTAAATGTACTGGGGCTGGGGATTTAGCTCAGCGGCAAGGCGCCTGCCTAGCATGCTCAAGGTCGTGAGTTGGATTCCCAGTTCCGGAAAAAAGAAAAAAACTAAATTAAATGTACTATAAGTATAAATACACACCAGATCTCAAAAATGTGATGTGAAGAAGAGATTTTAAAACATTCCTATAATTTTCATAACAATTATACTTTGAAATGATAACATTTGCAGCATATCATAAATAGAGATTATTAGAATTAGTGATATTAGAATTAATTTTGCCTCTTTTTTACTTGGTTCTTAGAAAGTTTTAAGTTACTTATATGACATGTACTACATATCTATTGGACAGCCCTGGCCTAGACATTCCAATATCTCAGAGTCTAAACAACAACTTGGAAAAAGCCCAGAATTCTTCATCCAACTATTGCTTGGAGTTTTGGTTCAGGAAAGAATAGCTCTATGTCCATACCTCTTGGCATCTCCTCTTCACCCCATACACCAGAGAAAATGCTCCAGATAGCAAGGCCATCAGAACTATCATCACCACTCTCAAGGGTTTGCAAGTCCCTTTACCCCATCACCACTTCCGAACGGAAGTGTCATTTAGCTGTAATCATCACTAAGAAAGGATTTGGACTGCTGTAGCCCTGCTTCCCAAAATTCAAATGAAATCACTACTGATTGTAAATATGCCAAGGTCAGTGCTGGATACAAAGATGCTCAAGAGAATGAATCTTGACTCTCTTTTTAATCCCCAGGTAGAGAAATACAGCCAGAGTCTTTACCATCATTGCATTGTCTTCCTCTCTCTCTCTCTCTCTCTCTCTCTCTCTCTCTCTCTTTCTCTCCTTTGCGTATCTGCCAAGGGATTACACTATCAAAATAGGAACCACATGCTAAACTAATAATATTATAAAGGCTAGTCTTGGAAAAGAAGCCCTGCAAAACCAGTTATGGAAAAGCCAAGGACAATTAGAACTGTACTGAGGGAGGGACCTGTGCGGATACCCTGGAGAACTGAAAACCAGGAGCCAGTCGCAGCTGTACCGGGGGCAGGAGCCGTGAAGCACAAGCTGTGCCAGTCTATGTATGATTGCTTTCTTGTTTTTTTTCTTTTCCTGACAGAAGAAAATTAGTGCTTCAAAGAAACACAAGTAGATGGCATGTTTTCTTGAATACCAGAGAAGCACTTGATAAATGTCACATGTGTCTTACAGAGCATGAAACACTGAAACTCACCCAGTGTGAGGGAAGTGGTCACCCTCTGGGGGTGGGCAAGAGCACCCCGGGGTGTGCGTGCTTCCCCCCAAGTGTCCAAGGGCACCTCACCCACCTCTTCAACTCTTGGTGTGTCTTAAACCAAAAAGTAAACCCATAACTAAAGTTGAATTGTTAAACTCCCAAGATGTCATTTTAGCAAGGAATTTTTGCCAACCACAATCCCATTGTCTTCTTGATTTGCCCTTCCTACTTTTCAGCCGGGGGCTGCAGGCTGGGGTCATTCCTGTCCCGAGTGCAATTCATCACACGTGCTCATGTGCTCGACATTGCTTCTTCCCTAAACTGTCCCTCCTGACGCTGAAAGCAAACCAAAGCAAATATCAGCATTCAGAAATGTTCCTTTGTAGAGTTGCCTTATCAAGAAATGGAATATCCATTAATTGGAAATCTGCTATATGGGATTTCAGACATCCTTTAACCACATATTCCAGTAAACGGGTCTCTGGTGTGTGTGGGGGGGGGGGATGGGTTTGTTTGTTTGTTTGTTTGTTTGCTTGCTTCCTGACCAACCTGAATTGGCTCTTTCGTTCCTGCACGGCTCACATCTCCAGTCCACTTCACCTGTTTAAAGAGAAAAGTTGAGTTCAGCGTCAGGTTTGAAGCTCGGATTTGGTTCTAGAGTTATAGGCTATGGTCAGGCCAGCATCTAGACGCTAGTAACAGCCACAAGAACTCCCGCGGTGACCCATGGCGGCAGTGTGGGCTGCAGACAGGACACAGGGTAAAAGTCTGTAGCAGAGGATAGAGAAACCAGAAGCATGGTATCACGGGGCCCACCTCACGGTGACTTCTGAGGGTCAGGGGGCCCGTAGTGCAGCCAGAGAGTGTAGAAATAGCAAAGCAGCAAAGCGTCCATAGGCTGTGTTTGGAAGCTCTTCTTGACCTCGGAAGATTTGGGTGGGACGATCAGGAAGCAGAAGCCAGAAGTTTAGTGCGTTTGTCACCCGCTCAGCTAAGGTGCCCAATGCCATTCGTTACTTCTACTAACGTGGATGAGTAAGAGTTAACACATAATAGCATCCCCAATGGTTTTGACAAGGTACGATAGTTATGTAAGATGTTATCCTTGAGGGAATCTGGGTGAAAGGGACCGAGGAAATCGGTACTATTTTTGCACTTCTTTTGAGTCAAAATATTCCAAAATTTAAAAAGTTGTTTAAAAAAAAAAAAAAAAACATTTAACATGACACGGCACTTCCAAAGACTGACGGTCAGCGCCACACCCGGCTGCTGCTCCCTGCCACCTGGAAGACCCTCATTCTCCTCAAGAGACAGCAGCTGTCCCGCTCTCTCACCTCTGAACTGCCTACGTGCTTCTTCCTGGGCCTGGGCTGGGGTGACAAGGGCTCCGGGAACGACAGGCTGGACTCTAAGAGTGCCCATGGCACTCGCGGCCACCCTCGGTGCCTCCTCTGCAAGAGGGCGCCCCAGGGCGGGGGGACTCAGTCCCACCCTGCACACCCTGCGGATCTGACCACTAACCAAGCGTCTTGCCTTCTTCTCTTCCGCTTTCAGGATGCTTCCATTGCACACAGATTCCACATGATGAGAGAGAAACACCCTGAAAAATTCAACAGCAGGTAAGAGGGCTGCGCGCCCAGCTGCTCGGCGCCCCGCCTGCCCCGCGCAGCCAGCCAGACCGAGGCCTCCCACCTGCTCCCACGGAAATGTTCTTGGCCCGGCCGCCCTGGGACTTTGCTTTCCTGCCACGTTGCCGGAAGGACGGTTTCCATTTCCAAACAGGGGGAAAAAAAAAAGTGTCAGAAACCTGCCCGCGCCCTGGCCGAGCATCTGGGCAGAGGAAGGGAATGGGGTGGAGGGGGCGTGGGGCGCCGGCCTTGGGGGAGGCGGGTTCCAGCCCCGCGCGCGCGCAGATTCCTGGGCCCTCGCCCCGCGGTTCTTCGCGGGAGGAGAAAGCAGGGTGCAGGAGGTTCAGCTTTTCTGGCCTCAAACAGAAAGGTGGCAGCCCTGGGGCTAGAGCCGGGGGACCGCGATGGGGTCGAGTCTGCCCTCCCGGACAGCAGGGGGCAGCAACGCAGAGGCCTCTGCGCCCAGCCTTGGCCTGGCGCCTGGATGTAAGGTTTAAAAATAATCCAGAGAAAAGCAGGTCTTTTTCAAACCAGACTCTTCTTGAATGCAGGAGAGAATTTGCCAGAACTGCGTAGTGATCAAATAGCCACCCGAGGGATTATCAAATTGCCCATCTCCCTTCTTTTTCTTTTCATGGGCCAATGTCTAGGCTTTCTCTTTCCTCTTTCGTTGCACTATCTCCTGATGACCCCTGGAGCTCACCTCCAACCTCAGGCAAGTGGGGAAGAAGCTAGATAGTAACTCGGACTTGCTCTTCAGCCCTAAATGGGTCGACTTTTAAAGAGAACAGGATTCTCACTGAACGCCCAGCACCATGAGAAAGGTGGCCACTTTCATTCTCATTCTTTGCCCTGCCCCACAGCCTGGGACATTAGCTCAGAAGGAAGTAGGAATCGGAAACAGAACATAAAGAAGCCTCTTTGGCCTTGGGAAGAGTGATCTGTAGGATTTAATAGCAACCAAACTAAGTGCATGTGTGGTTGCAGCATATTCTTTTTTGCACTCACACACACACACACACACACACACAGATCCTACACACTCACTACATACCAGTAGCATGTGCACTTCCAGCCTGTATTACTATGATCACAAACTTGACGATACTATTGATTCTCCTGTGTTTTTACTCCCATGTGTGTAAGCAGTCACTTTTCTTTAAAAATACTCCTCTTATGCCCGTTCCACAGCTGTTTAAGGGTCTCTTCTCACACAAATACCCTTATACAACTCATCCCCGTGTGCCTATGAAGATAGCATATACTTCTGAAGTCCATGGGTTTGTTCATTCATTCATTCATTCATTCATCATTCATTCAGTGGTGTCTTTTGAAAAATCTACATACCAGACACTGTTCTGCAGGTATCTGGGGCAGATCTGTGAAGGGCTCTCCGAGTCCCTGATGTAAACAGCCTGGAAAGCAGATGTGTGTAATAGTCTGTGTTAAGTGATGTAGACAGAGGTATCCTATGGGAGTATAACACCATGGAACTTAGCATGGAGGGTTTTTCCAATGACAGAGATACGCTCAACCAAGACACAGAAAACAAAAATATATTTTCCAGGTTCGTAGAAACAGAAAGAAAACCCAGGGAGAAGAAGCCAAATACTGTATTTTAAAAGATACAAAAGAGTGAGAGTACAGCACACTTGAGGAAAAATAAGATGTCAGCATGGTATAACGTATGACCTCTTAGCATGAGAGAGAAGTGAATCTCGTAGGTTGCAGAGAATAAAGAAGCAGAGAGAAAATTTCTCCTTATTCCGAAATCAATAGACAGGTTAATATACGACGCAAATAGAGTGATCATCACTTATCAATCATCTACATGGCTAAGTACAATTAGAAAAATAAATCTGTATGAAAAGAGTGTAGTGTGCATTTTAGTACAAAGTCCAAGAAAATTGAATGTGAGCTGTATGATTGTGTTCTTTCCTTTACAGACCCCATGTACAAAACTACTTTTGGGAGCTAGGTTTGTGTAGATTTATCCCTCACTTTTTACCTGGTTGAGGTCAAGGTGGCTTGGTAACCCAGGGTGACATTTCTGGCCTAAGCAATGAAGATGTCTAGAGGCAGCCCCTGTTTCACAAGGTCACAAAATCCCTCCTGTTAAGAACTTTGTGTCTATGTGCTGCTTGCATAGCTCCAAAACACCTAGGAGTGCTTAGTCTGTCCACTGAGAGGCAGGCAAGCAGCCATTTTCTCCATGCTTCCTTATTTAGCTTTGGAGATGGTTTTAAATAGGCAGGTGGTTGTTGCCATGGTTACCACCATTACACCAGTGGCTAAACTTAGGAAGGGCCACAGGGATAGGAAGAAAGCCTGATACCCAGGCTTTGGAAATGTAAATGATATTATCAAACAAGCCCTCCTTGTAGCTGACTGAACGTAGGTTCTCCAAAGAGTAGTCCCTGCTTGGCTGGAAGCCTTCACCATCACTGCTTGGGACTGCGCCCATAGGGATAACCCAAGGTTAAATATAGAGAGTTGTAGTTGTTTTGTTTTGTTTTGTTTTGTTTTGTTTTGTTTTGTTTTGTTTCGCTTCGTTTTGTTTTGTTTTGTTTTGTTTTGTTTTGTTTTGTTTTGTTTTGTTTTCAAGGAAAGAATGTGAGTAATCAGGGCTAGAACTTACTAGGAAACTGGACTCTTTCAAACTTCTGGGCTATTCTAACAAGAATTTGTAAGAGGTTCTGAGAACACCTTGGAACGGTACCTTGCAAGAGTATGCACAACTATCATGAGGTCCATAAAGGGTCTCCCTAAGCCCCCAGATGGTTAAAAGTCACAGTTCTGAGGCCTCTTTGTATCGTAAGAGGCCTCACATTATGACTCGACTGACGGGTTTCAGGATACTCTTCCTCCAGTGGCTTCTCTGTACAAATAGTTGCCATGGAAGATGGCTAGTTGCACAATATAAGTTCCTCTCCTGGTGGAATAGTTTTATTTTTATTATATGTTATTACTGCATGTTAATATTTCATGACCATGAGGTTTATTTGGGGAAGTTGGTACATGCATTTAATATATCTTGATCAATGTTAATCCCATTACTCCTCCCTTTTCTTTATCCCTTTCCCTGTGTCCAGTAATCTACCTCTTGGTTCCCTATCCTCTTTCCTTCTGAAGAATTTATTTTAGGCTTTATCATACAAGAGAGAATATGTGATGTTTAATTTTCTGAGTCTGGCTAATTTCACTTAACCTGATAGTTTCTAGTTCCACCCATTTTCATGCAAATGACATAATTTCATTCTTCTTTATGGCTCAGTAATATTCCATTGTGTATCTATATCACATTTTTTAATCCATTCACCTATTGACAGGCATATAAACTTTCCACACCTTCGCTATTGTGAAGTATGCTGCTAAAAACATGGATATGCATGTATCATTACAGTACACAAGCTTTAATTCTTGTGGGAATGTGCTCAGGAATGGAATTGCTGGGTTAAATGGTATTTGTATGTTTACTCTTTTGAGGACTTTTCATAATTATTTCCATAGTGAGTATACTAGTTTACATTCCCATTAACCATGTAGAAGGGTAACTTTTCCCTCACATCCTCACCAGCATTCACTGCTTTTTGTATTCTTCATGGTACCTATTCCGATGGGGGTGAGACAGATTCTCAATGTAGTTTTAATGTGCATTCCTCTGATAGCTAGCAATGTGGAAGATTTTTTTCATATTCTTTTTGGCCGTGGAATAGTCCTCTTAATAGAACAACAACCAAACCCAAGAAGATAGCGATCTGAGCCACATGTGATGGGGGCTATTTTGGGCCCCTTCTACTACCTACTCATTGATAGGCTAATTAGTAATTCCTAATTAAAGAATGTTGCCAAGGTCATCATCTCACTGTCAGCATAAAGGACAGAAGACAGATTTAATTCAGCTGAGATTCTACAGCATGTTAGAAAGTATTGTAGGACAAAAAATAAGAATGGTCTCTGCCTTCAAAACATTCCTAATTTTTCAAAAGAGAAATTAAATCTTCATTTTGTTTTAACATACGAAAAAGTCACATTTAGTACACCTCAGAGTGCCCAGAAAGTTATATAATACATAGGAGCATTCAAATCATCATGTCTCAAATATCATTCATAAATGGATTATTTTTGAGGGCAGAAACACTGACATAAGGGAATCAAACTAAAGGGCTGGAGATGTAGCTTAGTGGTAGAGCACTGTCCTAGTACATGCAAGGCCCTAGGTTCAATCCCCAACACCGCAGAAATAAAGAAACAAATAAATCAATGAAATGTCTTATAAACTATACCAAAAAAAATACAAACTATTAAAAAAAAGGGGGGGGAAACAAGCTAAGAATTACTATCCATCTGTTTTATCTCCTACTAGATGACAGATGATGAACTAGGGTTCTAAAATATATTAAATTATTTAAATCCCAAAACAAATGCATAAGGTAAATAGTACTGTTCTCATATTACAGATAAAGGAATTAAGTCTGGGAGAAACTAAGTTACCTAAGGGGGAGGAGCATAGATTTTTTTTTTTTTAAGCAGTACAGCTAATTTGATTTCTGATTTATTTCACTGCAGCCCTGAAGTTTCTGTATCCGCTATCTCCCCTGGAATTTATTTAGTAAATATCTAGTGCACACTGGCACTCCGATAGGTACTTTTTACGTGATCCCACCCAATGCTCATGGTAATATGCAAGATTAAGTGCTATACTTTCCAGTTTAGAGATGAAGAAACTGAAGTTAAGGAGGGGTTTCGCACATTACCTCTGTGGGAAAATGCTTGCTCAGTTTGGAAGAAGGGCATCAAAAACACACCACCCTCATTTCTTATACAGTACAAATCTTTTCCCTCTTTCAGTACCCGCAGCAAGGAGAAGGACTAGCCCAGAACAAAATTAAAATGTGTGGCCCCTTATTCAAAAACTACTAAGAATTGCAAATTGGTGACAGAATGTTAAATTAAGCCCAGAACCTTCGTAGATGTGAGGTCCTAAGTGA